GGAACTGAGCCTAGAATATTATGTATGTTGAGGTACCTGCCTTGCCCCTTAACCACCGATGCCCCCACCCGTTCTCTACAAATATTTATCTAATTTACCAGGCTTATTAAACATGACATTTTTTTAAGTTAGGATGGACAAGAGGTCAATAACATAGATTACAAACTTGTCAACTTAATGCTTATATGCCTATTCATAAATTCTTTCTTTTATTATCAATTACATCCTTTTTCAAAGAGAGTATGATGTTGGTTTTACTCTCTTTTTTTCTTGCAAATTGATTTGTTTAAGATAGTTGATATTCTTTTTGAATTTTGGAGAAGTACAAGTACAACATCATACACGAACCAGTTCCTTGCTTCCCCAGTCCCCACCTAAAAATTATAAAAGAAAGAAATAGTCACTTGTAAAAACTTTAAAAATTAAAAAGATAGAAGGTGATGTAACCTCTCTCCTCTGTTAGAGATATCAAGTATCAATCCATTTGCTAAGCATTATCTGTTGGGGTAAAGTTTAGACTATTGATCCAAAAATCAGCATCCGGCTGCTCCGACTAGGTCAGACCCTATTCCATATCTCCTTATTTGACTAGGGCAATTCCTGAGCCGAACCGGTCTATATTCAACGAGAAAAATTTAATTCTTAAAAAAAAAAAAAAAAGATAGAAATCAGATGACATGCAGTTTCAAGGGTTTCATCTTTGGATTTGCCAGCCTCCTTATCTAGTCCAACTAATTCCCATACCATCCCAAGTCGGACCGACGATTTTTGAATGGTTAGCCCAACCGAAGGAGCCCGTAGTTGAGTGTTTGAGAAGAGTGTAACCACCTCTGCCCATTTCTTGATACCCGGTTTCTCTTTGATAATACATATCTTTCTCTGACTAAGCATGGAAATCTTGACTCTTTGATTCTCAGAAGAGACGGTGAAGACAATGCGGAGCATATTGTTTTTATACTTAATGGTAGTCTTCTTTTTTTTTTTTATGTTTTTTGTTTTTTTTGTTTTTTTGTTTTTTTAAATTGTAGCTTAGTATAATTTCTTTTTTTTAGGTGACTTCTATTTTTTACTTAATCAAAGTCATTTTCAATTCCGTCTTATATGAATAGGGTTACCTGCCCCAAAAATTAAAAGAAAATATGTCACGGCCTCACTCGTGACTTTTATTTTTGACTTAGCGTGTGGTTTTTATAAGGTTGCAACTTTAAACAATCTAATTGAGACGTACGTCCAAATTTTATCATAATATGAAATTTTGGTGTAAAAAATCTTTAGGATTATCTCAAAATCTATTTTCACATCTAATTATAAAATTTTAAACTCTAAAAATAGTTAAAACCAAGTAGATCTATAAACATATGAAAATCTTAAAATTGGACGGTCTAGATAATGTGTTACAAGATGCACTATTTTTAGGACTCAAAATCTTTATTTTTTTTCATATTCATACATCTCGTTGTCGAGATGATCAATTAGAGGGTTTTTCAACATTAAAACGACTTTTTCGATGGACTTTTGAGGTGCATCTGTAATCCTACGTTGCAACCTTATATAAACTTTTTCCTTTGACTTAATAAAGTCATTTTTAGTTACTTCCTATATAAATTAATGGGTAGAGTTACCTGCCCCAAAAATTAAAAGAAAAGATGTCATGGCCTCTCACCTTCCTTTGGCCGTCTAAAGTTAACACCTTATATAAACCACACCATCCCTTGATAAACAAATGTAGGAGACTCCATTTGTAGTTAGTCACCCTTTGAGAGCGCAAAAAAAAATTCATTCTTATCTCCTTTCTAACGAACTGTCCACCTGCCGTTTTCTCTCGAGTCCATCAAAACTCTCTCTCTCTCTCTCATTCTCTCACATCAGCAAGTGTATCAAAACTCTCTCTCTGTCACTCTCTCATTCTCTCACCTAAATAAATGTAGGAGTCTCCATTTCTAGCCGCCTGTGAGAGTGCGAAAATATCATTCTCATCTCCTTTCAAACAAACAGTCCACCTGCTTTTCTCACTCTATTGAGTCCATCAAAATTCTCTCTCTCTCACAGTGGTAAAATTGCAAACTTTTCCCTTACAAATTTTGCTTCCCAATCTTCCATCTTCAATTCTTCTCTTATTACCAGCTTGAATTTTTCCTTTTAAAATGTGTCGCTCTTTGAATCTCTGTAATCTTGGAGACTTGTCTTAAATGCGTATGTGATCCCATTTGTGGGCAGATTCGTTACTTGGCAATACTGAAAGAGAAGGTACAGAAACTAACAAGGGCAACAGATGAGCTAACGAGCAGGAGAGATGACACATGGAAGGAATTAGAAGCAGCAATGAGTGCTAGAAAGATCCCCACAGAAGAAATAATGCAGTGGATAAAAGCAGTGAGTGAAATTGAAGAAGAAGCAACAAGAATACAAGATGAGTATGAACAAGGAAGGACATGCTTAAGAGGGCTCCGTACAAATTGTTGGTCAAGTTATAGACTCAGCAAGAGAGCGGGGAAGCTCAAGATAGAGGCTGACCGCATGTGTTGAAAAACGTTTGAGAGGTTAGCAACAACTCCACCTTCGGAGCCTGCAATAGAGTTAGAAACCACAGACATCAAGGATCAAACCACAGCTCAACGCACTAAGGAGGAGGTTCTCAACCGCATAACTGATGATCGGAAGAGTGTGATTGGTGTGCATGGAATGGGGGGAATAGGTAAGACAACTCTCATGGAGAATGTCAATAACGATTTAATGAAAAGAGAGAATGTCAATAATAATCCCATCCCTCAAGGGTCACAATCTCTGAGCATCCAAATTTTAAACATATACGGGAGAGGATTGGAAAACGCTTGCACTTGAATTTGGTAATGTGCGATGAGGAAGATCAAAAACAGAAATTGTTGGATGTTCTGAGGACTGAGAGGTACCTAATAATCTTGGATGACATGCGGAAGAGATTGGAACTCAAAGAAATAGGAATTCCTCGACCAAAAAAGGAGGATGGTTGTTGTGGTGAGTAGAAACAAACGAGGCGTATCACAACATGCAATCTGAGTGCACAGTTGAAGTAAAGGAACTATCAAAGGAAGAGGCTTGGAATTTATTCCTTGACAAGGCTGGTCATCATATTTCTTCTCAATTGATAGAAGCCCTTGCTAGAAAGGTTCTTAAAAAGTGCGGGGATTGCCCCTCGCAATCATCACTCTTGCTCGGGCTATGGCAATGCAAGGAGAGTTGGGAGGCATGGGAAGACGCCCACGCCCTACGAATATTGAACATGTGAGCTGCAAGTCTCCCAGGTATGGATGATGCATTACGCCCCTTAAAGTTCAGCTATGATTGCTTAGATACAGACCTTAGGTCTATCTTCTTGTATTATGCCTTGTTCCCTGAAGACTGCTCGGCTCTATAGGAGCATTGGACACATTATTCTACTGTATAGGAGAAAGGGTACTAGATTATACAAAAAGTATGAAAGCCTTTGAAAATAGATGATAGAAACCCTGAAAGCTTCATGCATGGTTCAAGATGGCAATGTCTAACAATCAATAACGATGCATGGTATGTTGCGTGAACTTGCTATTTGGATCACTTCTTCTGGCTCAGGGGAATATCCTGAGTTTTTAGTGCGATCTGGTGTTGGATTAAAGCAAGCACCAGAGGCTTCCAGATGGAAACATGCATGCAGAGAGAATTTCATTGATATGCAACAATCTAAGTAGCCTACAGGAATTGCAAGAGTGCCCAAAACTTGTTACATTGCTTCTTCAAGGTAATGAAGATTAAGTGGCCATCCCCACAAATCATTGCTTTGAATGCATGCCTAACCTTCGTGTACTTAATCTGAGCCGCGCAAACATTGAATCTCTCCCATATTCAATATCACACTTAATGAACCTCCGTGTTCTTATTCTATGCGGTTGCAAAAAGCTGAAAATTTTACCGGCAACAATAGGAAAGCTCAGCCAACTCCAAGTGTTGGACATAATGCGTTGTACAGCTATTAAGGAGCTGGATTCTGGGCTTGCTGAGCTCACTAATCTAAGATTTCTCAGTTTTTCTGGGATGTCTGGACTTGAGAGACTCCCAACTGGTTTATTATGTAGTTTGGTTAATTTGGAGTACTTCGAGTGTTTGTTATACTGGAGGATTAAAATGGAGTACTGCTCGAGAGGAGGGTTGGATGAGTGCATGGGAGTTAACTAAGTTGGAGCGTTTATTTTTTCTAGATATCGATATAGATGAAGATGTTATCGATTGCGATTGGGTTGAGTTGTTTGCAAATAGATTGAGATGGTTGGGGTTAGAGGATTGTACTCTGACAAACCGTGCATTTGTTGCTTTAGAAGAATCACAAAGCATTGAAATTTTGTATTTAGTGCATTGCAAGATCATGAAACGTGCCCCTACTCTTTGCTTAATGGGATATCTTAAAATACGTGGCTCTGAGGATATGGAATGTGTGATGGTTGAAGAAGAGGTCAAAGAGCGGACCTTCCAAAGCTTAGAGGAGCTGGACCTTGTAGAGTTGCCCGAATTGGAGAGGATATGTGTTGGGGTGCCACCTCATGGATGCTTTAAGATGA